GAGAAGGGTGCAACAATGAATGAATGGAATCCCAAAATCTCTGTAGATGTTCATTGAAATGAAAAATAAACAACCTAAATTTAAAAAAATAAAATTTAAAAAAAAAAGTGTTCCCATAGTTCCTTAACCAAAAGACATCAGTTCCTAATTCATACACTTTTCCTGAGGAGAATAAGGTATAAGGGTTGAGTGATTAATCAGCCGCAGCACTGCCTTTGAATCTGACACTTAGTTTTGCTTGGGACTCTCCCCTTGACGCTGCAAGTTAGTAGCTACACAGAGTGCCTGGGAGAGGGGAGGGAGAGAGAAAGAAAGAGGCAGTGCCAGCAGTACAGTTCCATTCTTAGGAAACCAGACACAGACTTTCTTAGCAAAATCTAAAAATTTAGATGACTGCTGATATTCTAACTTTTTGTAATTTGGATTGAAAGGAGGAGGTGCATTTCGAGCTTATCCAATTTTTCTAAGACTTTCCCTAACAGATCCTCAGCTTTCGAGCTAAAAAACACTTCAGAGGTTGGGGGTGCAGGCCAATTTTGAGCAAGTCCTTCCTTAAGATCTGTTTGATTTAGTTCTGTAACTCCTCACCTCCCATGCCTATCTCCAGGGAGGGATATATATCGGGGGAATCTCATCCTTTTTTCTCCATCTCCAATTCAGCTTCTAATGCATGATTACTTTCAGCTTCTTCTTTCAACTTATCTAACTCATTCCTAATGTCTAAGGTATCTCTAACAAATCTCCACAAGCTGAAAGTATAAAGTTGGTTGGGGATTTAATTTTACACCGCGGGTTTTTAACATATTCTGAAAAGTGCACATACAATGTTTTTACCTGATTAATTCCCATCTCTGCCCTTCTTCTCTGATCTTTACCTTCACCGAAGGCAAATTCAGTAAGTTCCTGTCTTACGACTTTCACGGATCCTTTAGTGTTTTCCCTCTGTGTCGGCATTCCTGCCCGGGCGCCAATTCTTGGGGATTCAGCCCTGATATGTCGGGAGAATTCCGCCAAAAGGAGGCACCAGGTTGAAATGAAGATGCGGAGAGGCTAATTGCTGATGACAAATAGCAAGTTTAATATTCTGGCAAGGGTATATATACACGTTTTTAGGAACATGCCTGCAGGGGTAATTGCATTATCTCTTATCTGAGATGTTGACTGGTAGATCAAACATTCCCAGACATTCACACAAAACAAAGACATCTTCTGGGATATCCTGTGATATCTATTGGAAAACAAGAAAGTATCACATTCCTAGAAATCTGAGGCCTTTGGTCACTCCTTATTCATTAGCATACTGCCTCCTGGAGTTGTTTACTGTAGAACAGATGGTCAAGCCAAGATAGGTGGTCCTGCTGTTTTTGTGTTTGTTTGTTGTTTTTTTTTGGTCCTGCTGTTTTTTACAAGGCATTGCTGCTCCTGCTTTGCAGGTTAGCCAGCTCCTGACACAGGTTATAGTCTTCACAATTACATGCTATGCATTGGAGAGTTGGACAGTGAATAGGGATGATAGAAAGAGAATTGATGCCTTTGAGTTGTGGTGCTGGAGAAAAGTGTTGAATATACCATGGACTGCTATGAGAACAAACAGGTTTGTCCTGGAGAGGGTGAAGCTGGAATGCTCTTGGAGTCAAGGATTCTGAAGCTTTGTCTGACATACTTTGGGCATGTTGCAAGAAGGGACTGGTCCTTGGAGAAGGACATCATGGGAGAGTGGAGAGACAGCACAAGAGAGGAAGACCCTTGATGAGATGGATCAGTTCAATGATTGGAGTGGTGGAAATGAGTGTGTTTGAGACGGCAAGGTTGGCACAGGATAGAACGGCATTTAGGGCTTTTGTACATAGGGTCGCTATGAATTGCAAGCAACTTGAGGTCATATAACAACAAAACAACAACAACCACCTAACACCAACATAGACAGAAATTTTATGGTCTATAGAGTGATGCCAGTTGGGTTACAGGAGAAAAAATTATTTTTACTGTTGTTTCTTAGTTTTACTTACCATTAAATGTCAGAAGCAAGATTATTACCGTTTTTTATTCTTTAAGGAATACATGTGGTGTGTACCTCAACCTTTCTGAGAGCGGTGTCATCACATAAAGGGAGTCTTTTACTCCTTGGTCTGACCATAAACTTGGACCATTATCCCTGCCAACTTTTTCCTGGAAGTTTTCATCTCTGTTCCAGGGCCCTCCTTCATTCTCATTCAGTCAGGAGATAAGGTGTTTTAAGTCACTAACCACCTAATCTTCTGTCCTTCCCACTCATACAGAATCGTTCTGGCATCTGACAGTGGTGTGACATCTGGCTCTGTCCTTCCTGGTCTTCTAAGTTGAGGCATACAACTATGTCAGGGATAAAAGAGCTCCTAAGATTAACAACAGAGAAGATCTCTTCTTGGACCTGATTAGGGCAAAGTTTTTCAAGGGCAAATGGGCTTTCCCCTCTCTGCCATTCCCACCAAGTTGAAGACTAAGCACTAAAAATTCAGTCAGGAGTATTGCCTAGCTACCATTGCTGATCATGTAGATCAAGGATTCTGTAGAAGAATACTGGTCAAATAGGGGGAAATTAGAAACAAAATTCATATTCTCCAGAACAGATACTCATATTCTCGTAAATAGAATTTCATTTTCTCAAAAACAGAATTTCATATTTCAATACAATACAGAATTTCTGTAGTCATGCAGGCTGTTTGACAACCCCCTCAAAACCAAATCACAACAAAAAAATGTATTCCTTGAGAAAATCTTTAAACCTCAGACTGAAGCTATCCCATGAAGTAATTTTTAAATAAAATAACAGTTTAGTTTAAAAAGAAGTCTGCATTAAATGTTATATATATGTTTATTTTTTAAAGTATTATCTATATGTCAGAGAGGTCAGGGTTATTCCACAGCTTGGTATATACCCAGAGAAAATGAGAGCTGAGGCACAAATGGAGACTTGTACACCAATGTTTGTAGAAGCATTATTCGCTATCGTAAAAACAAGGAAACAGCCCAAATGTCCAACCACAATTGAATGGATTGAGACATTGTAGTACATTCACATGATGGATACTAGGCAGCATGCACGAATAATGATTTTGTAAATCACTGCCTAACTTGGGAGAAACTGGAGAGCATTAAGCTAAGTGAGCTACCTCAGTCCCATAAGGACAAATATAGTATAAGACCATTATTGTATAACATGTATGAGGCAATTTGATGGGTCAGGAGAGGGTGGGTAAAGGAAAGGGGAAAAATCCAGTGTGAAAAACAATGTATATGAATTTAGTAAGTAAGCCAGCACGAAATAAAAAAATTTTTTTTAAAGTATTATCTATATGTAATCAAGTTAACAGCAGCAACTCTAAAGAAAAGATAAGGAGCTTAGCGGGACAGTGAGCTTGCATTGGTTGTCGTGTACTGTTGAGTCGGAACCAACTCATAGCTGACTCTGCAGTGGGTTCAGAGGCAGTAAATTACTCAGGAGTAAATGACCCGGCCCATCTTTCTCTGGCAGAGCACCTGGTAGATTGAAACGGAGTGCCTTTGGTTTAGCAGTTCAACTGCTTATTGCTAAGCCACCAGATGTCCCTCTGTGGTAATGACGGTGAAATGGTTTGGATGAAGTTGAGAAAGGCGGCGCAGTTTGAAGACTATAACCAGTGTCTCTGAACTGTATAGGTATAAATTGGAGAAGTGGTGTATATTTTTTTATGTCACATACATAAAATTGAGTGGGGCAGGAGCACTCTACCAGGAAAAGTGGTTATAAGAATTTGGAAACACAACAAAGCTTTTCATGAAAATTTCTGATTTTTTACATGTATGTTTCAATTTACATAATTATAGTATACAATATAAGTATAATCTGTTAGTAATGCAAAATTTAAGAGAAAAACTTGATAAATATGCTTTATGTCTTACTTTATTAGGACTTTCTAAAGGCATGTTCACCTGATGTCTTCCGCCTTTTCTGTCTGCGAAGCAATTACAGGTCAGGTAAGGAAACCCCCAATAACTGTGGTCTTCCAGAGTCTGAGTACTACACTATTGTATATTGACTCATGTATAAAATTAAAACGAAGCAAACTCTTGTTAATTGCTTCAGACGTATAGTTACCCTACAGGATAGAGTAGAAGCGTCTCATAGGATTTCCAAGGCTTTAATCTTTATGGAAGCAGACTGCCTCCTCCTTCCCTCACAGGGTGACTGGTGGGCTCAGTTGATCTTTGTTTAGCAGCTCACCACTTTAAACAGTGCAACAGTTAGACTCCTTTACTCATGTATAACTCAAAGCAATGTGTAAGGATATTTAAGTATAGCAAAATACAGGCTAAAATAAATCCAGGTTTATAGTTTAGTGTTGTATGTTTTTATACCTTAACATGTGGGCTCTAAAGGCAAAACAAAGGAGCCCATTGTTGCAGTCATTGTCAGTCCATCTTGTTGAAGGCCTTTCTCTTTTTTGATGACCTTCACTTTGCCAAACATGATGTCTTTTTCCAGGGGTAGCCCTTTTTGGTAACATAGCCAAAGTGCATGGCATGCCGTCCTGCCATCCTTGCTCCAGGGAGCATTCTCGCTCTGCTTCCTCCAAGACAAATGTCTTCAGTCTTCTGACAATTCATGGCACTCAGTATTCTTCGCCACCACCACAACTCAAAAGTATCCATTTGTGCTTATCCCCTGCCTGGCTTTTGCACGCATGTGAAGCAGTGGAAAATAGCATAGCTTGCATCAAGCACACCTAATCGTAAAGTGACATCTATGCTTTTAACACTTTAAAGAAGTCTTTTGCTGCAGATTTGCCCAATGTAATTTGTAATTTGATTTCTTGAATGCTGCTTTCAGGGACGTTAATTGCGGTTCTAAGTACAACAGAATCCCTGATGTCAGTATTTTCTTTTTCTCATGATGTTACTGTTGGTCCTTTTGTGAGGATTTTTCTTTTCTTTACGCTAAGGTGTAATCCATACTGAAGTCTTTATAGTCAGGGTTTCCCAGAGTGAATAGGCTTACTTAGTGTAATTAAGTAATAAGTGAATAGGTTTATTACTTGGTGCAAAAACCTTTGTGCAATCTAGAGGAGAAGAATTTTTATGTTAATCCTCGATTTTTATTTAAGTGGTTATTTTAACAAAAATATGTTGTTGCTTTTGACAGGTGCCCATCAAGTCGCATACAACTTGCAGTTAACTCTATAAACAGCAAATCTGAACCCTGTCCTATCCTGCTTCATCTTTATCATCCCCGACACACTTGAGCCCCTTGTTGCAGTCACTATATCGTTCTGTCTCACTGAGGGTCTCCATCCCCTTTTTTTTAAAATTTTTTTTTTCCATCCACCTTTCCAAGCATGATGTCCCTTTCCACAGAATAGCCTCCTAGCAACATGGCCAAAGTGTATGAGACAAAGTTTCACCATCTTTGCCTCCAAGGAGCACTCTGATAGTACTTTCTCCAAGACCTATCTGTTTGTTCTTTTGGCTGTCCATGGGATGTTCAGTGCTCTTCTCCAACACCCCACAGCTCAAAAACTACAGTTGTTCTTCTCTCATCCTTATTCATTGTTAGTTCTCAGATGCCTAGCAGGTGATTGGAAAAACAATGACTTGAATCAGGCAAACTTTAGTCTAACTTTAATTTATACTAGTAATTCAGTTTCCTTTGAAAATGTCTTTTTTAATTTTCAAAATGTATAAAAATTGGGTTGATCAAAACAGAAAAAGTTAAACATTTAACAGTACTTGAATTTGGCAGAATTCTAGGAGGTTAGAGGTGTGGTGACACTAAAACGGGAAGCCCTGGATTAGAAGGACTGGTCTACCCCCATCAGCTGCATTCCCTTCAGCTTCTTGAGCATTTACCCTCAAGATGCCACAGGAACCCTGGCCCCACCAGACCTTTCCTCTATGATTTCTATTTCTTCACCCATGACTTCTTTCTGGTGTAGTGATAAGCTTTCTAACTCTGACCTAAAACTGACCTTGACATTTTCTTTCTGCAATTCTTCCATCTTAATTTTCAGAATCACTTTTGTTGAGTCTTCCTTTCTCATATCTTTAATTCCTGGACTACCAGCACATTAAGGTGCCATACCGATTTCTTTACTTGCAGACTTTTGCAGGTTCCATTCTATACTTTATTCTATTGATACTGAAATTATTCTGAAGTGTTGGCTTTTTAGAGAGCATAAGGCCATCCCTCCCCAGTGGTTCAGATCTAACAGTGTCTCTTCTCATGTAATTTGTAGCCTCCAAAATAGAGGGTCTGCTTTGAATTGGTTCCCACTTGATGGCAGTGAATTGGAGTTGTTTTTATTTTAGGTTAACTTTTTTCAATTATCTCCTTTTATTTCTCTTGTCTCTCATTTTGTGTCCTTGTTTTCTTGTTCTAATTTATTTTACTTTTTTAAATGAAGACAATGAAAGAAGGGCAACTGAACCATATTTGGTTCCCAACTCATCAACTAAGTAACTCTTACTCAACAGTATATGTTAGAGGCATAGCATTTCACTAGACAGTTTGATGAAATGACTTTGGTTTTACCTGTCACACTGTCTTTTCTCTTTGAGTCCCCTTTCTGTATGTAGTGATGTTGTCTGCCCTTTTCCAGCTACAGGAACAGAGACACTTGTTGAGATGGTCTGACACTGACTCAGTTTGATTACATGTAAGCTCACATATCTGGATACACATCCATATAAACACAAACTCCATGGTATACAATAGAAACAGATACATGTGCAACTTTTATCCCCTCAATTTCTTTAACCTTTAGTCATTTGGAATTTTCTGCCTTATAGTGGTAGTATATTTTTAGAATAAGTGGAAAGTTACTTTTTTTTGAGGATGGGATCAGCCTCTTGTTATTGTTGTCTGCTGGGGAGTCAGAGCCGACCCACAGCTGACCCTCCAGCAGGTTTTCAGAGGCAGTATATCGCACAGGAGACGACTGCCCATCCTGTCCCGTGGAACAGCTGGTGGATCTGAACCTTTGGGATTGCAGCACAGCTTCTTAGTGTGCAACCAGCATACGAGGCAACCGGCTCTCTTTACATATTTAGTCATCAATTGATATTTATTTATTATCGGTTATATACTTAATAAGTACATTCAGGGTGTGGTGTCTTATGGCTTGATTCTGGGAAGAGATGCAGATATCCTGCCTTGAAGTTTGTCCTGTTTGGCATTGAGGGAGCTCTGGGTTCATAGTCTGCAGAGGGTTGCACTGCTAACCCAAAGGCCGAGCTCCTCTGGTGGTATGAATCCATTAGTTACTATACGAGAGAAGGATGAGCAGTCTCCTTCCGTGTGATGTGCTGCCTTTAAACTCCCCTGGATGTTCAGCTGTGAGTCACAACTGACTTGACAGCAGTAAATTTTTAAGATATTCAGAACTGAGTTAGAAGATAGAAAGTGGTCTCAAGATGAGGCAAACAAATACAAACTCAACAGCTGATGGAAAGGTTGGAAATCTGAATATACACAGGCACACTTTGAGGTGTCGTAGCCTAGTGGAAAGGAACTATGCTCTCATCCCAAAGGCACATAGTTCAGCCACCAGCTGTAAAAAAAAGATGTGCGGTCTCTTCCTGTGCAGTTTACTGCCTCTGAAAGGTCAGTTCTGACTCACCAGTACACAATGACAAGGGTACTTCAGAAGAAAGGCTTATCTTACAAAAATATCAACTGAATAAACAGTGCTACCAGCATTGGAAAGACATGTCCAATCTTTACTAACTCCACAAGAAGGAAGAGTTCCCATCAGTGACATTAATAACCCCAAACCTGTTCCTGTAAAGTTAAAATTGCCACCATGTCCTACACTTATGTCAGTGAATTCTAACACTAGCCTAGCCCTCCCAAAGCTTGCTGCTCTGCTACTGTGTTTGCTAATCCATTGCAATGGCCACACAGAACTCATAGATCATACTCAAGATTATGGGCTCCATTAGGGGTGTACCAGATTAAAGTTTGGGTTACAGACAATCAGAATCCTTCAGTCAGGACAGTTTCTAGAGCATGTTTGTTGGCTTTTTAACTTTTAGCGTTAAAGTTTTGGGCCAAAGTTACATAGCTTTTCCAACTATGTCATCTCCCCCAAGCCCTCAGTTCTGACTTCTTGGGGCAAAAGCTCTGGTCTTTCTTTGTCTCCTGCCATTCTCTGGCTCTCACACCTCTGCTGCTGCTCCTCTCAGTTTGTCTCCCACAGGGTTACACTTTCTCCTTCTCAAATGAAAGTGAGATTTTCCTTTTCTCTCTGAACCTACACAGTTCAAACCTGGCAGGATGGCAAAAGTAACTAATATGCAAATAAGGTTTATAAACCTTATTTGCATGTTTTTTCCCACTCAGAATGAGCTGTTTACTTTATTTGCATCAGTAGCATAGCACAAGGTTCAAATCCACCCATTGCTCACGGGAGAAGGATGGACAATCTCCTCCAATGCACTTTCTGCCTCTGAAAACCCACTAAGAGGGTCATCTACAGGTCGGTTTTGACTTGATGGTACACAACAACAACAACAACCCAACTATGTGGTGAAAGCCAGAACAAAATGGCTAGAAAAGGCATCTTGAACAATCTGCACTACATCAGCCTCTAAAACTTTATGGAGTGCAATTCTGCTCAGACACGCATGGGGTTGCCCAGAGTCCGAGTTTACTTAACTCATTGGCAGCTAGATTGGTTGTGTTTGGGGTTTTGTTTGTTTTTTTTTTTTCAAATAAGATGGGATCAAGAAATTAAAAGGCCCTTGATGTAGCCAGTCCCTCAGCATCCACCTGATGCTTGTTCAAAAACAGCTCTGCTGCACAGGATGTGTGCCGAGCACTGATAACTACAAGCTGGATATAGCCAACAGTGCACAGAAGAAAAACTGATTGCACACTTTCAAACAGTGCAGAATAGCATGCTTAGAAAGCAAGCCAGGGGCACTCCAAGGCAAGGCTTGTCCTTTGGAACAAAGATGAGGAAAATCTGAAGAGGCACAGC